TAAATAAAATGGCTTGTTTGTTATAATCAAAACATTAAGATTATAATCAACTATAAGTCAACATAACTTATGACCTTATCGGGCCTTTTATTTCAATTTATATTTTGGGTTATCACAAACATTGGACCCATTTAGTTTTTATATATGAAAATTGTTATTAAAAATTAGACTTATTTGATTACTTTAATTTTCGGGTCAACCACGATTTAATCTCAGTTTGACTTTTTGACCATTAACCCTCTTCCTTTTCCGAGTTAATATCCGGTCTGATTTTCAAAATATTGATAATTTCATTTGAATACAAACCAGTACACATCAACTATAAGCTCAAAAGAACTAGATCCCGTAAACAACATAGAGGGGTCACATTCTAAAGACTTTTGATAATCAGAAAGAAACTCAACTTTGTACTGCGCATGTTAATTCTTTATATCGACGGGAAATCCCTAGCTCTACTCATTGTTGCACAAATACATTTACCATCATATAATAATGCATAACAATGAACATCAAACAATGCCCACTTCTACCATCTCCTCATCAGGTCCATCGATATCTACATTCTTGTCATCTCCCATGTACTGCAAATGAAACAAGTTGCTAATCTCAGATCAAATTTTAAAGCAGCTTAAGAATGTAATAATATTAAAAGAGAGATCACATATCAAGCATTAATATTCCCCGAAGATTCACCCTATATCTTTTGGTCATAAAGTGTTTTTTAGGTATATCCATGATACAATAGTCGTGCATGCATTTACATCAACATTATCAACCAAATGAAACACTAAGAATTTTAACGACATTTTTCAAGATTGATTTTTGTCAGATCTTCAACAAGAATATGTTATACGTGTACAAAAAGGGTCAAAAAACACTCTCGGACACCTAATGTATGACGAAGTTTCATTTGTCACTCATCTTACTATTATTCCAAAAAATTGTTTACTACAGTAAAATTCTCCATCACACATTCACCCAATGAAATATTTTACACATAAATCAATAAAGTTACTTTACTTTTCAACCACACATTTTCCTAAAAATACTATTCATTACAATAATTTTCTCTCATTAATGGGAGACAAACAAGCACAAGTTTGTGCCTAGTTATCAATTTGTTTCAGTTACATCACCCATCAGTCATCACGACCCTGCATCAATCTTAACAGCCAATCTTACAAGAATGATTGTTTCAATGACGTGGCAGTCCCTTGAAGTAGAATTCAAATGCTTCCAAGCCAAATAAGCAAATAGCAATTCACTTATGAAAGTTGCATTTCCACCAAATCTTAGGATTGAAAACAATATTTAACGCTACAAAGGGTTAACATCAATTCTGAAACACGCTTATCAATTTATTTATTTTTTTGTCACTTGCAAATGTATCAATTTAACGTGGCTCCAACGCCATCAAGCCTCCGTGTAGGACCCACCGTTAATAATACTAACGGGAATAATGTTAGTGATGTAACTGAAACAAAGTGGTAGCTTTAGTGACCAAATTGAAACAACATAAAAATGGGGGTGACTAAAACGGAAGTTAATTATAAGTTAGGTGGCCAACA